TTTTAAACCCAGATATATTCTAAAAATACTCTTACTGAAAGCTTTGAATGAGTAAACAAAACCGAGAACACAACATTGACCAAAGTAAAACAAGAGCCTCGTGTTATTTACGTGGCAGGCAGAGTCGTTTATTTGAAGAAACGATCTCCAGAAATAAGGAAATGTTCTTTTTACGACATAAAAGAGAATAGTTCCATTTACTTCTTCGTATCTTTTGAAAGACCTTTTGGAAGACAGAATTGTATAGTTAAAAATGAATTGTACAACTGTGGGGAAATCAATTAAAAACATGTGCCTAGTAAAAAAATGTTTCATTTACATTTTGCATTTTTTATGTAATAAATAACTTTATTGAGTTTAGTTATTGAACTGTTTTGAGTAAAACATTCTAATAAACTGAACAAATTAATTATACAGATTAGTGTTGTACTCACCTCGTGTTGACGTGTGCTACTTTTAAGTGAGGTAAATGAGATGACGTATTAGCTTATGACGACATTAATCAACCTTTAATAACAGAACCATGTACATGACCTAATACAGACAGACATATACAGCTACATAATACTGTCATGTAATACAATACAGCATGTATTGTGCATTAGCATAATATATTGTGTGATTCGTAAGTCAAAATAACCAAGCTTATAATTTTTATAAAACCAAATTTCTATTTTTACATGGTTTATTTATTGTTCAACAAGTAAAAATGCAATTTATTTTAATTATTTAACAAACTATTTTGTTTTAGCCCTTTTTACATTAGGCTGACTTAATATTCTTAAAAACACCGCATACGCGTTAACAGGTCAAATTAATTACATAATGAACAACTATAAATGTATTATTACAAATATTACGTCGATATATCCTATATATAACTCGAGTAAAGTTTGAATACTTGTTACTTTGATCTGGGAATTGGCTCTAACAAAAACGTTTGTATTTACGGAATAACTAAGTTCTGGGTCAAAAATAAGTTCTAGACCAGTGGTAGAACTTACTTAGAACTTACACTAAGCCAAGAAAAATCTATTTTCACCATAATATGAGTACACACTTTTGAAAATTTAACATGGGCCTTATGAGAAAACATTCCACCATTATTGTCATTTGTTTACATTTTAAGACATAACTCAACGTTCTGTACCCACGGGCACCTCAGCTTGTGCATGCGCAAAAAACTCTTGAAGCACTTTCCGAATTCCGAGGTTACTGTTACTTCCTGATTATGTGTGTTAGCTTCTGACATACAATTTTGTCAACTTGAGACAGAGAGAAAGAGAACGACTCGACTTTGCTCCAGTTCAATAAATCGTTTGATGTATAAGAATTTTTATTTCATTATAAAACTTTCCAGAGTAATGCGTTTCTAATCCACTAAAAAACTATTCTTACATTATCCTCAGCTTTATTACTGTTTATTTAATACTTTTGCCAATATACACGAGCGATATATTTTATTTTCTTTATTTTTATGCTTTTAATAATAATTATCATCACTAAATTACTCTTTTTTGTTGGTTGTCGAGTCGTGTCGTTGTCGATTATGTCGTCTGATTCTGACTGATGTCAGATGTTACACTGAATCGGTCACATACCTGCCACTAGCTATAAAGTTTAAAATAAAAATAATTTACTCTCTATTAGGCCTGGACTGAATTACGCCTGTCCACAGCCTCTGTGTTAAAAATATGTTTTTTTGAAATTTGTAAATAATGTATATATTTTAGTACAATGTTCTCCTGTTATTTAATGACGCCATCAATGCCCCATGGGGCAAAAGATGAAGAACCAGTAATAAGGTAAAATCAAACCCTAGGATCTGTTCTTATGTTTGGCCGTTTTGAGATGGATGCTTTCAGGACTCAGTTTAGCCTAGCCTGAACTACTGGAGCTTAGTAAGGTGGTTCATCCATGTTTAGTTTTTAACACTAATCAATGTCTAATCTAGATTATACGTGCCTTATTCTACTCCGTTTTAAAACTAATATACATAGGCATAAGCTTTAATTTTTGTTTTACATACTGGGTGCATCATTAAGGTAACTCCACGGTTAGGTTGCTTTGTATAAATCAATAATTTCATGAATCACTAATACCCTATATCATCAAGTGTGTTCAGTACATAATGACACTCTCTCAAAAAAGTACTAATCCTAACAAAAAACATATAGGTAGCTTTAGGCCTACAGAGGATGAGTGTTTATATTTATATCACTTATATTTATATCTCTGTGGTTAGGTTTTAGTTAAGTTTGCCTTAACATGACTATAATTTTAGGACTAGATATCAAACAAACGCCAAATTAACTTATAGGGCAGCCTAGCCTATAATTTGTCAGTGTCAATGAAATAGTGCAATATCGAGGACAACCAAACTTGGATATACAACCATGTTTATACCTAAGATTCCTTTTTGGTACTCACTATCACCAACAAGGATCAACCGTAATTTATATGGCCCAGAGCAAGGCCGCACTAGGTATATCTAGTCCGGCCTTGCCCAGAGGCTCCTAATGGTTGGGTCTCGCCTCTATCATAGCATACCGTGTTGTAAACAAGTGAAGAAAATTATCACAAAGCATATTTACACTTTTATTACTAGCAGGATTTAAAAATCTTTGCCACGACATACGCTCTAAGCATAAGAACAGCTGTAGCCTTAAAAGACTGATAGACACACAAAACTGTCATTTCCTGCGATACAGAACCCTTGAGGCCCGGTATTTGGTTCCACATATCTGAAGTACAAAATGGTTTTACAATATACATGAACTAACATAAGACTGGGTTTTTATCTATTATTGTATTAGCCCTGGCAAGAATACTCTTGAGCAACACATCGAGACATTGACTGTGTAGTACTAAGTTGAGGTCAATTACTAACAACTAATAATGCTCACGACAAAAATACATATATTGTGTTGTTCTTATATTGTTGACATTTTGCCTGTTAAGCATTTAAAATTGTGTAATTATTCATCATTTAATAGGTACCCTATGAAACATAGTGATGATAAAAGAAATATTTTTTTCAATTAGCAGAATATTGTAAGATCAACTTTTGGAGAAAAAATGTAATCACAAATTTAGGCCAAAATTGTTTAAAAAATGATAAGGAAGGTTTGGTTCCCACTAGCTGTTAACACCTGTGAATCTATTATTAGAAGATATTAGATCTGTTACCGATCCCTCTGGACTACATTTTATGATGGCAGTAAGAATAATATCTCTTAAAGCGAAAAATGACCTAGAACAAGTTGTTAAATGTACCAATTAAAGTGATTTAGCTTTATGTTGGGTTGGTATTAAGTCTAATGTATATTATTTGTGTGTGTGAAACATTCTCATCCACTGGTGTATTGACGGAGATTTTCAGGCCTTTTGTTTATGTAAGGCCAAACAATACGTTATCTATCGCTGAAACACTTCCATTTGATTTTTGCAGCAAATGTTTGCTTGATACTAAATAATGATCATTTGGAATTTCAACTATTAATCGAAATGGTCGGTTTGATCCAACCATAAATTCAGTTTCTCAGTCACTATACGTGATGTTATTTTCTTGGAAGTTCTACTGTTAGTAACAACCAGCTGAGAGGTCATTGTAGAGAACATTCTATATAACGATGCCACTCTACGCTTGCTGTTTCAGTTGACTCTTGCTTTTCTAGATTATAAATGTATGTTAATTTTCCATGGGGGTTTTCAACTAGTACTTACTTTTGTTTTGTTTTATATAGGATTTAAAAGCAGTATTTTATAGTTTTTTCAGAGTGTTTTCTCAAGTAAAATTAGTTTACACTTGTATATATTCTGATAAGGGTTACTAGACACTAACTGATAATAATCTTAGTAAGATATTAACTGAAATCATGTTCGTTAGTTGTAGTGTACCAGCTGGTGTTATTGTCACATGTTTTAAGATGAATTAATTGTCGATATGTTTACAGTTCAGTTGTTTGTTTACTCACTTAGAATACACATCATGTTTTTCAAAATATGTCTAAATATTTTATTCTATTAATATAATAAACCACAACACTACAATGGCGCAGTCGAAAACTATTGATTTTAAGTGTAGCTCATTTGACGGGACGACCGAAGATTGGGTTTACTGGTTTGAACGATTGAAGATCAGATTAAGGAACGAAAACGTCAAGAATGAAGACAAGAAACGAGACATTTTACTAGGACACTTAGGCCCACAACCTTTCAAAATTGTATTCGACTCGGTGCATCCTACACCCGTAAGTAATATTGGATTCAACGACGCTGTAGCAATCTTAGATAAATACTACACCAAAAAAACCGCCCCTCTTTCACAAAGAGTCAGCTTTACAAGTAGATTCAGACACGATGGTGAATCTGTAAACCAGTTTGAACTATCCTTAAGGTCTCTAGCCGGACACTGTGATTTTGGTGATGGTCTGGACGAACGCTTAAGGGATCAGTTCATCCTTGGAATTAACAATGATAAATGACAGTTTGAACTTTTAAGACTTCACGCATCTACAAACACGTCTTTTTCTAGCGTAGTCGAGTCGGCAACGTTACTTGAAAATGTGGACACTCAACAACAGGAAATGCGCAACATAAAAATTAACAGAGTAAAATACCCAATACACCAGACAAATCGACACATCCACACAAGACAAGACAAATCAGACTCAAAACAAATAAATACTAGAAACAGCCATATTCTTAAACTCAACAAGGGAATACACTGTTTTAAATGCGGTTACAAGAGACATGCAAATCACGAGGATTGCCCTGCTATGGGTGCTGATTGTAAAGCTTGTAATGGTATTTATAATTTTTCTCGTGCATGTTTGAAGACAGGAAATGCGGTTGTTGCTTGACCAAAACAGTTAAATCAAATCGAAAATTTTTTGCATGAGGATAACGCTCCGTATTCAGACATTGACCAAATACGAACTTTGGAAAAGGGTTCCAAGGTAATATTCAATGTTGAAATGAACAAACGTAAGGTAAACATGCTTTACGATCCAGGGGCAGCTTACAGCATTATTGGAGAAAAGCTGTGGAAATCGGTGGGATCACCAACACTTTACCCCTGTGAAAATCTTACTGCCTACACGGGGGTACAAATTGAAACACTAGGCGAAACATCGGTTAGTGTTCTTGCATTTGGTAGTTCAAAAAAATTAAAGCTTATAGTAGTCAAGAAAAATGATGTTCTTCTATTTGGGTTGGACTGGGTACTTAAGTTCAATCTTCCTTTACCACCAGGTGCTGAAGTATGTACAGTTACTCGGCAACCGAACAATACCACTCGTGTGAATAGTATGGATTTGGTAAGACAAATTGTTACTGACTTTCCAGAAGTGTTTCATCCTTCTCAAGGCACAATCAAAAATCAAATCAAACGAAGAACGCCTAGGAGATTGCAACGGATCTCATCTATTTCATCTCAGGTCTCAGGATTCACCATTGACCTCAAAGAGCTTGCAAGAAGCAACGAAACAAGACGCAATACTCGCTAAAGTAATAAACTACCTTAGAAGTGGATGGCCAGAACATGTTACCAGCAACAAAGAAGTTTTACCTTATTACAACAAGCGTGAAGAACTTTCTTTTGAAAACGGAATATTACTCTGGTTCGGTCGCATAGTAATACCTTCAAAACTGAGACCAAGAGTAATGGAAGTACTCCATGAGGGACATCCAGGAATAGTCGCCATGAAAGGTAAAGCGAGATTTCAAGTGTGGTGGCCCGGTCTAGATAAAGATCTGGAAGAACATACAAAACATTGTGTTGGTTGTCAAAAGAACAGGCCTAAAGACATGGAGATGCCTCTCTTCTCGTGGACCGTCCCAACAGAAGTCTGGTCAAGAATCCACATAGACTTTGCGGGACCATTCTTAGGTAAAATGTGGTTGATTGTTGTAGACGCACGATCAAAATGGCTAGAAGTGATACCCATGTCAACAACAACTACAAAAGCCACTATCAATGCCTTAGAAGAATTGTTCTCAAGATTAGGCTATCCCAAAACTATCGTCAGTGACAACGGTCCTCAGTTGACATCTCATGAGTTCCAGTCGTTCTGCAAAAAACTATAATATCAAGCACGCACGTTTAAACTTGTTTAAAGCTAGGTTTTAGCTTGTTTAAAGCTTGGTTTAAGCTTGTTTTAAGCTTGTTTTAAGCTTGATTTTAGCTGGTTTTTAGCTTCTTTAAGCTTGGCTTAAGCTTGTCTTAAGCTTGGTTTAAGCTGGTTTAAGCTGGTTTTAAGTTTGGTTTTATCTTGTTTTAAGCTTGGTTTTAGCTGGTTTAAGCGTGTTTTTAGCTCGGTTTTAGCTTGTTTTAAACTTGTTTTAAGCTTCTTTAAGCTTGGATTAAGCTTGTTCTATGCTTGTTAAGCTTGGTTTTAGCATGTTTTAAGCTTGGTTTTAGCTTGTTTTAAGCTTGGTTTTAGCTTGTTTTAAGCTCGGTTTTAGCTTGTTTTAAGCACGGTCTTAGCTTGTGTTAAGCTTGGTTTAAACTTGGTTTAAGCTTGGTTTTAGCTTGTTTAAAGCTTGGTTTAAGCTTGTTTTAAGCTTGGTTTAAGCTTGTTTTAAGCTTGGTTTTAGCTTGTTTTAAGCTTGGTTTTTGCTTGTTTTAAGCTTGGTTTTAGTTGGTTTAAGCTTGTTTTAAGCTTGGTTTTAGCTGGTTTAAGATTGTTTTAAGCTTGGTTTTAGCTGGTTTGAAGCTTAATCTTAGCTTGTTTTTAAGCTAACACAATAGAAAATGATTTTTTTTTAAAGTCAAAAACACACAAACACATACAAATAATCGAGCTGATGAACAATAAAATCTACATGATCAGTTTACAGACAGTACACTTGGTTTTATCTTGGTTGTCGTTTAGTTTGAACTTGTTTTAAGCTTGGTTTAAGCTTGTTTAAAGCTTGGTTTATTTTGGTTTTAGCTTTTTTTTAGCTCGGTCTTAGCTTGTTTTAAGCTTAATTTTAACTTGTTTTAAGGTAACACAATAGAAAATGATTTTTTAAAGTCAAAAACACACAAACACATACAAATAATCGAGCTAATGAACAATAAAATCTACATGACCAGTTTACAGACAGTACACTTGGTTTTATCTTGCTTGTCGTTTAGTTTTAACTTGTTTTAGCTTCGGTTTAGCTGGTTTAGCTGGTTTATGCTTGTTTTAAGCTTGTTTTAAGCTTGGTTTTAGCTTGTTTTAAGTTTGGTCTTAGCTTGTTTTAAACTTGTTTTAAGCTTCTTTAAGCTTGGATTAAGCTTGTTCTAAGCTTGTTTTAAGCTTGGTTTTAGCATGTTTTAAGCTTGGTTTTAGCTTGGTTTAAGCTTGGTTTTAGCTTGTTTTAAGCTTGGTTTTAGCTTGTTTTAAGCTTGGTTTTAGCTTGTTTTAAACTTGTTTTAAGCTTCTTTAAGTTTGGATCAAGCTTGTTCTAAGCTTGTTAAGCTTGGTTTTAGCATGTTTTAAGCTTGGTTTTAGCTTGTTTTAAGCTCGGTTTTTGCTTGTTTTAATTTTGGTTTTAGCTTGTTTAGAAGCTCGGTTTTAGCTTGTTTTAAGCACGGTCTTAGCTTGTTTTAAGCTTGGTTTAAACTTTAAACTTGTTTTAAGCTTGGTTTTAGCTTGTTTAAAGCTTGGTTTTAGCTTGTTTTAAGCTTGGTTTTAGCTTGTTTTAAGCTTGGTTTTAGCTGGTTTAAGCTTGTTTTAAGCTTGGTTTTAGCTGGTTTAAGCTTGTTTTAAGCTTGGTTTTAGCTGGTTTGAAGCTTGGTCTTAGCTTGTTTTTAAGCTAATACAATAGAAAATGATTTTTTTTTAGTCAAAAACACACAAACACATACAAATAATCGAGCTGATGAACAATAAAATCTACATGATCAGTTTACAGACAGTACACTTGGTTTTATCTTGGTTGTCGTTTAGTTTGAACTTGTTTTAAGCTTGGTTTAAGCTTGTTTAAAGCTTGGTTTATTTTGGTTTTAGCTTTTTTTAAGCTCGGTCTTAGCTTGTTTTAAGCTTAATTTTAACTTGTTTTAAGGTAACACAATAGAAAAAGATTTTTTAAAGTCAAAAAGCTTGGATTAAGCTTGTTCTAAGCTTGTTTTAAGCTTGGTTTTAGCATGTTTTAAGCTTGGTTTTAGCTTGGTTTAAGCTTGGTTTTAGCTTGTTTTAAGCTTGGTTTTAGCTTGTTTTAAGCTTGGTTTTAGCTTGTTTTAAACTTGTTTTAAGCTTCTTTAAGCTTGGATCAAGCTTGTTCTAAGCTTGTTTTAAGCTTGGTTTTAGCATGTTTTAAGCTTGGTTTTAGCATGTTTTAAGCTTGGTTTTAGCTTGTTTTAAGCTTGGTTTTAGCTTGTTTTAAGCTCGGTTTTAGCTTGTTTTAAGCACGGTCTTAGCTTGTTTTAAGCTTGGTTTAAACTTGGTTTAAGCTTGGTTTTAGCTTGTTTAAAGCTTGGTTTAAGCTTGTTTTAAGCTTGGTTTAAGCTTGTTTTAAGCTTGGTTTTAGCTTGTTTTAAGCTTGGTTTTTGCTTGTTTTAAGCTTGGTTTTAGTTGGTTTAAGCTTGTTTTAAGCTTGGTTTTAGCTGGTTTAAGATTGTTTTAAGCTTGGTTTTAGCTGGTTTGAAGCTTAATCTTAGCTTGTTTTTAAGCTAACACAATAGAAAATGATTTTTTTTTAAAGTCAAAAACACACAAACACATACAAATAATCGAGCTGATGAACAATAAAATCTACATGATCAGTTTACAGACAGTACACTTGGTTTTATCTTGGTTGTCGTTTAGTTTGAACTTGTTTTAAGCTTGGTTTAAGCTTGTTTAAAGCTTGGTTTATTTTGGTTTTAGCTTTTTTTAAGCTCGGTCTTAGCTTGTTTTAAGCTTAATTTTAACTTGTTTTAAGGTAACACAATAGAAAATGATTTTTTAAAGTCAAAAACACACAAACACATACAAATAATCGAGCTAATGAACAATAAAATCTACATGACCAGTTTACAGACAGTACACTTGGTTTTATCTTGCTTGTCGTTTAGTTTTAACTTGTTTTAGCTTCGGTTTAGCTGGTTTATAAGGGTCGCCACAGATCTTGACAGATGGATTGGCGAGCGTTGGGATGGGCGCGGGGAGGAGTGCGGGTACTTTCCTGAAAACATTGGTTTCCTACAACTACTGCCCGTGCAACAATAGTGTAGACTCGAGTGTACGGGATCACACCCACACCTTCGAAATGGTTCGTTCAATTTTGACGAGAACCCTATCAAATTTAAGAAAGTATTGTCAAATTTTATATTACAAAGTTTCAAATTTGTACCCAGTTTGTTAAATTTATATCACAAAAAGTTAAAAAATCTGTGGTTTCGAAATTTTGGAGTTATTTAAAAATCATATAGGTAATTATTACAATATATATACACACATATAAATCGACGAATATTGGGGTGATTTACAACAATTTTTGTTTTGTCAAGTTTCAGAAATATAACATTATGATCTATTTTCTCGTAAATTGTGTAAACCTTTTTAACTTTGTTATCTTGTGATAAAAACTCCCGCTTAAAATAAATTGGACTATCTGATCGATCGTATGAACGAGAAACATGGTGTCTAAAGAAACGAATTAATAGTCTAGTGATCTGAAATGAACTTGGTGTTTTTGTAAAACATTTTTATTGTCGCGCTTTGGGGTTTGTAAGAGGGAAACACGTTGCATGAGGCTTGCTTTCTCTTTCCTTTACTGAGAAATGAGTTTGTTGCCAGATGCTTGTTTATGACTCATGTCACCCTTTCGGGAATCTGCCCCAACCTCTGGGTTTTTACACTTCAACTTAACAGTTACGCTGTGGTATTCCGGCTGATCGGTCATATTCTCTGTCGTTCCGTAGTATATCATTGTGTCGTGTATGTGCGCTTCTGTGATTAAAAATGCCTCCAATATTGAGCAAGGTCCAGAACAAAAAATTGCATGGACAGTCTAGGGAAATAGTGTGTAATGTATTAAACTTTTTTAAAGAAGAAGCTAGACAGTGGAATGAAAATCATTTCATAGTGCCAGTGAAAAGGTGCCAGGAAAGATGTTCCAGAGCAACGGGTGTTTCTGTAAGTACCATACACCGGATTACAAAAGAAGCTGTAAAACTAAATAACACTCCCCCTGGTGAGACTGCTTCATTTTTGACACCAGATAAAAAACGAGAAATTAAAAAGAATATTACAGAAATGGATGAGTTTAACAAAGCAGTTGTTAGGAGAACTGTACATAATTTCTATGTATCTGACAAATGTGTCCCGACAGTTGAGAAGTTGCGATTGAGACTTTCCGAAGCCATCGATTTCAAAGGCTCCAACACAAGTTTGAGGCGAATTTTGAAAGAACTGGGTTTCAAGTGGAGAAAGACTAGGAATAACAGAAGAATCCTAATTGAAAGAGAAGATATAAGAAACAAAAGGATAAATTTTATTAGGCAAATGAGACAATTTAGAAGGGAAGGCCGACCAATAGTGTACACCGACGAGACGTATGTGGTAACCAATCACGCTACTCCAAGTTCATGGCAGGATAGTACAAATGGTGGACTTCATGTTCCAGTTGGTAATGGAGACCGTCTAATCATCGTACACGCAGGTGGAGAAGATGGTTTTATACCAAACACATTTCTCCAGTGGAAAGCCAGCCAAAGTACAGGGGACTATCACAAAAACATGAACACTGTTAACTATGAAAAGTGGGTACAAGAAAAACTGTTGCCAAATCTGAAACCAAGATCGGTAATTATTATTGATAATGCCTCTTATCACAATGTGACACTGGATAAAATCCCAACAAAAAGTTCTCTAAAGGCGGACATGCAGGCATGGTTGACTCAACACAACATAGATTTCACACCAACAATGTTTAAGGCAGAGCTTCTCAACCTAATCCAGCAAAATAAACCACCAACGAGATACAGTCTAGACGAAATCTTAGAGGGGAATGACAGTGGTCATACGGTTCTTCGTCTGCCTCCGTATCACCCTGACCTGAATGCCATCGAACTCATCTGGTCTCAGATCAAGGGTTATGTAGCTGAACGCAACACTCAGTTTAACATGAAC